TCTGGTCTAAAATCCCTTAACTCTTTAAATAACACTGTCAAAACAAAAAAGAATATAGAACGTATATATTTAGCATACGAAGAGTGTCTATTAAATCTTAATTTTCCCCAAGAAAGAAGAGAACTCTAATTGATTTGATTTTGTGTTCACATCCAAGACTGTTATTCCTTCAATTGTTGCACTCGTATTGAATATTGAATCCCGTTTGGTAGCACTATTACCAGTATATGAATCACTTGCCACAGGCCTTTGTCTGGGGTTCCCATAAAATTATTCAGTTTCGCCTTCTTGGCAGTCATGTCCACATGCAAAACATGCAAATTTTGTAGCAGTTACTGGCCATTGCGGTTGCTGATGTGGCCTTAGCTGCAAGCTGTTAGCCGTTGTTGTTACCGCTTTTGCTTGCTGCGGCTGCTGCTGCTGCATCTTGGCCTAATACAATTAGTCTTGTGTAATACGCATGCCTTATGCCCGGCTAGCGGCGATCGGTTGCCGGAGGAGGAGTGCCAAACCCGTTAGTGGTCAGAGTACATATACAGTTATCCCCCAATACCCCTTTCTCCTGTATACATATATATATATCTTTTTTTTACGCAATTCGCGCCGCCACACGCCGCAGCACTCACATGTGTTTCGGAGTCGCCACCACCGATCGGTATTGCCTTGGGAGCGAAGCGCGAATTGATTGTGGCCCAAAACGGCAACAGCAACAGCAACAGTAACAGCAAAAGTTGAAAGCCTTTTAGGCCGCTTTTCCCCCCTTCACCAGCTCGATTTTGTCAGATTTTCTGTTACTGCAACTGCATACAACAGGAGGCAACTCCGATTTCGACTGCCACCTTGTTGCCAAAACGGTCAGTGCATAACGGTACACGCCAATCGCTGCCAAATACCTCATGCCCCAAAAGCCGCTGAACTAATTAAAGCCACAAAAGAACCAGGCTCTTGGCCAATGCAAGTGAAGTTGTCTTTGTCCGATCGCTGGGCAATCGGATTATTATTCAATAAAATGCGCCGGCATACAAAAAGAGATGGGCCAGCACTCGATGACAAATGCCTGGGCGGCCACAAGTTGGCCAAAAGGGCGCACTCCTTTCTGGCCCGAAGTACTTGCTCCAACTCCAAACTCCATACACCAACTTGCTGCTCCCAGTTCGATCTGCGATCTAAAGGTCCAAGGAGGAGCCCTTAAAGCAAGCCGCCTCTATTCGATTTGCTCGTTTTGTTATCGCTAGCTTTTAATCTGCCCATTGCCGCGAAGGTCTTGGCCAGGCCGACTGCCCCTCCTCCACCTCTTATTCCTCTATTGCCTCATCTCTTGGCCACTTTTGCCGCAGAGTTTAGGCTTCGCTTTTCCAGCTAACTCACAGCGGGCATGTAATATGAGAGGAGTCGAGTGCAGGAGGCATTGTTAAAGCCCACAACCTTAACCCCTGGATAACCTTGCCGGAATAAAGAGGAAATTATTAGTTAATAAAATAGAAAGTGTTAATTTAAAGGGGAATTCAAGAGAGTGCTGAAAAACTGTATTAAATCAGGAACTACTTCTTAAGTTTTCCTTAATGATTAATGCTTCCTTAAACTTGTTCAATAAAACATTTCTCTGGGTCAACAGCATTGGGTTAAATGGCAAAATTAACTCCTGCTAACCTGGCTAAGATGAGTAAAATAGTTATAAACAAATCCAAAAGTGTCCTGTCTATGATTAAGAGTGTAAAACTCTTCCACACACCTCGCTTCCTATTCATAGTTTCCCACACAATTCGCATAGATTGAGCACGGCAAAGAGGACCAAAACTTGTTCACCAAAAACATTTCTCTGGGTCAACGGCAACACTGAGTGCCATTAATGGGTTAAGTGTCCTGGTGGCAGAAGGACAGGTTCGAGGGGATCGTTCAGGAGCATCAATGTAGCAGACACGAGTCTGCGCCAAGGCAGCGGCTCGATTTTATTAGCTTAGCAAAAGGCTTTGATTGTTCTTGTTCTTTCCAATGTTGCACTGTTGCTGTTGCTGTTGCTGTTGCTGCTGCCACGGCCTGTTGCGCTTGTCTAGACGGGCAATTTTTCACACACACTGAAACACACACACACACTCAGTTGGACAGCACAAGACACAGACATTGGGGAGCTGGACTTGCTCTAAAATTGGCATTTTTCGCACACATAAGGCAAAAATGTAAAGCGAAGTCAAGAGAGAGAGACCTGGCCAAAGCCGCATCGTCCAAGTCCAAGCCAAAGCCAAAGCGGTTTATTTGCCTTGTGTGGCATCAGCTTCATCATCATCATCATCGTCATCGTGGTCATCCCAGAGTTAAAGCCTGGCTTCGACTACAAGTCCAAGTCTTAGCCAAAGTCAAAGCCTTGTGCCCGCTGGCATAATGTGGCGCAACTCGAACATGGACTTGGCTTTGAACCTGGAGTCCCGAGGAGGCCCAAAGACTTTGGCAATTTCTTTATTATTACGAGCTGGCTGTCCTTTTGGGCCGCCGCTGTGGCAAAGAACAGAACCGAAGAGAACTCTCCGCCGGCTGTCACAGATCCGCTGCTGCTGATCATTATTGTTCTGCCCTGGCTGCGCTCCTCCATGTTCCATGTGCAGCTCCTCCGCCCGCTCACAATGCAATGTCAATGTTTTGTCTTAATGCGACAATGCTCGATCGCTGGCCTGTCTCGCATGTTATTTAAATGGAGACTCATCCGTTTGGGGAGTGAGGATTTACAGACCCTGTGGCCGGGACAACGACAATTTATTATATATTTATATGGCCAGCTTCAGTTTGCTTCTTAAGTCATATGTTCGTTCTGGCCATAAATTAAACGATCTTGATGTTGATGTTGATGTTGCTGTTGCTGTTGATGTTGCTGTTGTGGACGCTGCACAAGGTCGCGTGTGGTTGTTGCACGCCGCCCAGGCGAGGCAATTAAACGAGTTAATCACAGTTCGATGATTTGTCAGTTGCACTCCAAGTCCGGCGGGTGGATGTAATCGGTCTGGGGAAGGTCGTCCTCCCTCGGCCATCAGCGTGTGCACTGGACTGTGGAGCTTCTTTTTACTCCGGCGATGACATCATCCGCTTACCGGATTCTCGTAGAATTTGCTGCCAAGAAATCCAGTAATTATTGGGAATTAAAACTGCCGACTGCAAGCTGTTTTTATGAGCATTTTAAATACAAACAAACACGTTAAAATTTTAATGCAAATCTAAACTAAGTATACTGCCCTTTAACTCTCATATTCTCATATAAATTGAATTAAAAACGACTTCGTGTTTAGTTATAATAAAAAAGGAAATATTCTTTTTAATGAATTCCAAGAACATATTACTATTTATAGACATACTTCACAGGTAATAAATTAAGTCATTAAAGCAAAGGGTATTCAGTTTTAAAAGTAAGCTAAAGGTTCGTTTTTTATGTAGCATTAAAAATGCAATAAAATAAGCCATAATACAGAGATTTTCTAGAAGAGCTTCTCCTTAATGGACTTGGCTCTTAGTTTAGACTGTGGCTTATATTAACAAACATAGTCGGAACAGTAATCTTATTAAAATTGTAACCTTACTTAACTCGAACAAAAAACCTATATTGTTTATTTTCTAAACATTTCATAAGACCCAAGACTTTGTATTTCTTTCTTTCGGTTTCGAACTTTTACTTTCCCTAATGCTGTGTGTGCAGACAAACAAAAAAGTTTCGCTTTAGTTATACCAGCAGCCACGCCCCCATCAGCGGCCCCCAAGTTGGCAAGTTATAATTTAGCTTTCAGCTTTGGCTGCCGCTTTTGCTGACTAAGCGGAGAACACCGCCGAGGCTGGGAGAAGCCTCTAATCGGACGCGTACTCCGACTCCGACTTGGACTCTAACTTGGACTCGGACTTGGACTCTCGGTCTCGCTTGGTTCGCCCGTAAATTATAGCCTCGTCTGCAGCTTTCCTATATAAGTATATTTCTGTGTATCCACAGACAGAGAGATGTATTCGTATCGGTTGTGGCTTTGTGTATTTTTAGGCTGCATCTTAATTCCAGAAAAAGCCAACCAGTTCGCCTACACGAGCCGAATGTCGCCAGTGTTTGGGCCGTGTGTATATATTTCGCTTTTATTTCTTCATTTTTCTCGCGTAATTCTTTTGCACTTGGCATTTATCAAGCTGCCTGAAGGCCAAAAGAGGAGGAGGAGGACGAGGGGGGAAGTGTGAGCTGTTAATTCTCCTCTCTGATTGCCTTTTAATTAGCCAACAAACCAGCCGATACTTGACCAGAATGTGGGGGCTTTATGTTATGAGTTTATATATTTTCATTTTTCTCGTCGATATTATCTTGTTGCCTTGTCTGTGTTTTTTATTTTTTCGTTGTTTTTTTTATTATTATTTTAGCGTGTCATGTTCCTTTCCCGGCAGTTGTGTTTGTGTAGGTGTCTTGTTTGGTCTTTTGTTTTTTTTGCCGCGCTCGTTGCTCGGTTTGTTTAGTCGTCTTGCCTGTGTAAGGCAGCTTGCAGCAGGGGCAGCCTTAAGTTAATGACTAATGTGCCAGGGCTGGCGGGGTGTGTGGAAGGAATATGTCAGCCATGCATATAAGGCAGGAAGAGCGACGGCGACTGAGTGAATCATGACAGGGCCACACTTGAGACGAAGCTCCCAACTTCATTAGTCCGCGAGCGAGCGAAACCAAGTTCGTTGCCTCAGTCTTTCGTTTTTTCGGTCCAAACAAAAAGAAAAAAGCACCAACGCCGCCCCCGCCACCGCCCAAAACGAAGATCGTTAGATTCGGCCATCACTCCAAATGGCCACAAATTGTGTGTGTACCCCACGACCGAAAACGAGGTCACTTTAGCGGGTTTAGCAAAACGAAAACAAAAAATAAAAAAACGATTCATTTTGTGTTTCATTGCGCACCGCGAATGACGAATGACATCATGAAGCTCCAGCTTTTTGCCTGCACTCCAAGCTCAGCTTATACATTTTAAATACATATAAATAAATAGAATTAAGTAGAGACTTACCTTTGGCCTGCGCTAATCCGCAGAAGAGGGCCGCCAGCCACAGAGAGCGCCACATTTGCATTGAAAGCAGCATTTCCCCAAAATTTCGGATCTAATTGGTCGGGGAAAACGGAAAGACAAACGGCATATTATTATTTTAAGCATTTCGACCGAACGAACGGCACATGCTCCACAAGCGGGCCAACATTTCATTTGTATTCTTGGCCTTTTGTCGTTTTCACAGACACAAATATATATTTTATATACATATATATATATAACGCTTGCTGCTCGTTCACCATCGCGCGCACACACACAGTAAATTATTATGAAACAAAGCCAGAAGAGAATGCCCGGAGCCGAGAGCGCCGTCAAGTGGCTGGAGGCGACCGCTCAACAAATCAAAAACCAAATGACAACGGCAAATAAAAAACGAAACTAGCCGCGAACCACACATCACATCACACAACTCAACACACTCGGCACGGAGCGGGGCTTACTTGTCGGCTGGCTGGGAGGAATTCAAACTCAAGGCGGGACCGACGAGCACGTCCAAGCTGTTCGCTAGTCGCCAGGCAACTGAGGCTCCGCTGGCACTTCTGCGTCCGCAATGGTGGCGGAGCGGCAAAGCCAGTGGTGCGGCTGTCGTTATTTTCAGAGTTTAAAAAAAGCTGGGTGGGAAAAATCGAATGTTACAACTGAGCGAGTATAATTAAAAATATTTCTTAAATCTTACTTGAAGTTTAAGGAAAGTTAGTTGACCAATATTGAAAGTATTAATGATTTTCAGATAATATTGCCATTGTGTTTCAATATTTTCCATATTTCCAGATTAAATCTGATCTTCTGGCTTCAGTTTCTGTTTTATGTGAACGTCATGTGTCTGAAATAATATAATACAAAAATTTAAATATAATAAATATACAACATTATAAAGAATAAAATGATACTTATACTTTTAAAGTACTTCAATTTTCTTTAATCACTTCTGAATTTTAAAGTCTTTGATAATTATTAATATTGAATAAATTGAAATGCTTTTGAAATTGTTGTAGAATTATAAATTCGAGAATTAGTTTGGAATACGTGCAAAATTAAGATTATTAACTGGAGTAGGCCTCTTAAGATAAAGTTATAGGATATATGTTTAAGGGCTATCATATAACCCTAGTCCCAGGGTACCGGCGTCTATAATCGAGTTGAAGTGCCAACACAGCCAGAACAGCAAGCAGAGAGCGTGAAGACTGGGAGTGGGGCTTTAGCTTGCCGCTGACTGTTCACAGTGCATAAATAAAGCACACAATTACGAAAGTGCTATTTCAAATTTATGGGCATATTTGAATAAGTATTAAGATAAACCGCACAAATATAAACAAACATGCAACAAATGGCCCACTGTGCCTGCCTCTCGCGCCGGGCCTTCGTAGCTTGTAAAGCTTTACGAACGAGAGCGCGGCTTAAAACTTGCAGTAAAAAGGATCGCTCTCTCTTGTTCACTCGCAAGTTTGCTCTCTCTCTCTCTCACTCTCTCACCTGGAAGATAACAATCAGCCGGTTGGTTTGTCTCATGACTAAAATGAGAAATTGTGGGAGCGCAAAATCTTACAAGCAATTATGCAATCTTGTCTCTGCGGCTTTGTTTTTGCTGCCGCCTGCATTGTTGTCAAAACAAACATTTATGTAATTGTGTTTGCTATCAGCACGAACGGCAAGTTCTCACCGCCAGGAAGTATTTGTTAAAAATCGGGCAGGTAATGCTGCGGATAATCGATGCGGTACTTACGGTAGTTGCACTTCCGCCAGAAACCGTTCCGTTCCTGCGCTGCTGGTCATCTGGTGCAGTTAGGACCTAGAAAGAAGCTCCAAGTAACGCCCAAGTGTGCCCAATTTCACACCTCTTGGCTACGCGCGTGCTTTAGCATTATTCATTATTCATTACGCTCGTACTTGTTAGTTTTCCAAACCAATGGCCATCCCGTCATTAAACGGCAACAACAGCCCAAATAGACCAGCCGGCCAAAGGCTCGTCCAGAACGGTAAATGACGTGCAAATAAATGCACCCAAGCGAGCGCACTAATTTAATTTGCTTATTTCGCCTCAACCGGTTGTTATTACTTAGTTGCATCATTTAGAAGGGAAGAATAAATTACGCGCCTAGTTAAAATAAAATAAAAAAGGATGACTACACATATATCACTCACAACTCACGACAATATTAACCAACGACGCCGCTTCCTCTTAGCTTATTGTCGTATTTGACGATCTGGCAACACCAGCGGTACAAACACAAAAGGCAGAGATAAAAAGAAAGACGAAAAGAAGGAAAGAGCAACAAGAAAAAAAGCTCTGTGCGGAACTGTTCCAGACGCCATCTCGCTTACTCTTGCAAGGGTTCGAAATTAACGGAATTGCAAAATTTCAAAGAAACATAACGGCATTATATAATTTAATAATGTTTTGAACAAGTAGAAACATTTCACATTTATAGGCCGGAAAGTGTGCAATACAAATATTAAATTAAAAACATGTATGTATTCACGCACAACCCAGACTGCAAATGCTTGTGCATTTGTCCAACACTTTTTACTTTCACTAAAAAAAAGCTCATAAAATCTTGGCGAATAGTCTAGATATTATCAGGCCGGTAACAGTGCAATATGAATATAAACAACGTATTGACACAGATCCCGTCCTGAATATACTCTAGTTAATATTTTAAACAACACTTTGTTGCAAATGTTCGTCCATTTGTCCGACACTTTTCACTTTCACTTAAAACTAAAGCGTATAAATTCGTATAGCCTAGGTATTATCAGGCCGGTATTTGTGCAATATGAATAATGAATAAATAATCACGTATTGACACAGATCCCGTCCGAAATATAGTCCAGGAAATTGTTAATATTAGACTTTTGTAGATTGTTGCCACAAATCCATTGGCCGAGGCAAGTGCAATAAGTTTGCTGGTAAGCCCATTGCCACCTGCACCGGCATACGGATTGGTGAAAATTTCAATGTACCACAAAGAATTGTTTAATATTTCGACGTTTTTATGTTTTAATCCGCCTTGATCTGGCCGTTTCAAGTGCAATTCTAGTCAATAACCAAAGATTTGCACTTAAAACCGCACAGACCACTACGGTGCTTTTATTTATGTATTTCACTGATGAAGTCGTGGTCAACATTGCTGGGCAATGGAAGGTGCAATACTGGAAATGATATCGTAGTACTTGCAAAACCCGCAGCCTAGAAATGTAAACCACAGATGCCAAAATTATTCACTTTTATCGACCACTCGCGACAAGTTTTAAAAACCGAATGCCGGGCAACGATCCCGAGAACCACACGACGGCGCGAAAAGAACATTTTGACATTACTTCTTTGACAGCGACATTCGTAGCAGGAACAAAAGCGAAAGCGACAAATTAGAACGAGATGCCTATAGTAAGACGCAGTTTAGGTCGAAAAGAGAAAGAGATAAAGTTCCACGAAAGCTAAGGGAAACATTTAAACGAAGAATAAATTCTTTGGTTCGACTATTATTTTGAGAAGATACATTTTTTCTTAACTACATATTTTATAAGTGCTTCGAAAATAAAAACAAAAAATATTAAGTTTGGATTGGAGCGATTTTAAAGGAAATAAAATACTTACATATGCATGTGAACACATGGGTTTAAGTTATTTTTTTTAGTTATTTAACAGCGAAGTACACTTTTGCAATTGCAGAATATAAATTTCTCTTTGAGTAAGCTTTAATACAGACTTAAAATAGGTACTTAAGCAAACGCAAAGGGAAACCCCCAAGCTGCGATGCGCTTCTCACTTTGATGACCGTTTGGATTGTTTTTCAAAATGTCTAGACCCAGAAATCTTCATTTGCAACAAATACACAAATTAAAAAATCCATGGTTCTACACACTTGGAAAACCAGAGCTCTTTCACGTTGGGCAGATGAAATCAAAAAGAACCACACACAATTTTGGAACAGTGTTGCCAGATGTCTCTTCAAACTTCGGGTGCCACGAAGGTTCACGACTGCCAATTCAAAAATCGTGTGCTTGTGTGCGAATTGAACAACGACCGAAATATAACCTCAAAATCTATATTCCTGTATATTTTTATTCTCTAATGCCGTCACAATTTTTAGATATTTCTTTAGAAAATTCGATTGTGGAATGTAAATAATTTCTTTTTATTCTTACAAATAAACTTAAAAGAAAAAACAAAGAAATGCTTACATTTACGCATGCGCATAAGTGCCAGCTTTTACTGGGTATAATTTTGGCATGCTTATAAATTTGTTTAAAGAACAAGTTTAAAGACTTATGTTGCTGTATGTTACTGCACAAATTAAGAAAAAAAGAATGTAAATATCTTCTGCAGCTTTGCCAGATCTAGGGAAGGAAATTAAAAATTTTTCTGTTTAATTTTACCCGTACGAAAAGTCCATCACACTTTTTCTTTTATCTTTGCACTTTCGAATTTGTAGCACTGAAATTTCCGTTCAAAAATGCCTTAAGTACAGACTTAAAACAGGTACTTAGAACTATTCTGAACGGATACCTCAAGACTACGTATTTTCACTTCTTTCACTTGTTGCCGTTTAAATTATTCTTCAAAATGTTTAGACTCAGGGTTAGTTAATTGAAAAAATTAAAAAAATTAAATAACTCTTGAATCTACACACTTGGAAAATGCCGTCTTCTAAGTGCTGTATGTTACCTCTCGAGCTGATGAAATCGAAAAGAACCGGAAAGACATTTTGATCCACCTTGAAACCTTTGGGACAGTGTTGCAAAATTTATTTTTAAACTCCATACGCAATTTGCATGTGTGCGAATTTAACAACGACCAAAACATAACCTTAATTTCTATATTTCTGTATTAGTGTTGCATTTTTGGCATAATTCAGGACTATTTGAAAATTTTACAAATCTTGTAAAAGTTCCTAATAGCTTATAGCCTTAAATTATGTATGTATGTAAAGGTTCCGAAACTTAATATTTATTTATTTATTATTTATATATACATACATACATACATATGTATGTATTTATGATTTATTAAACATCATAATTAAATATTGTTTCTGAATTTTTCATCAAATTATTTTTAAAATGTTTCACTCACGAAATATAGATTTGTTTTCATCTCTGCTGACAACCATTATTAAAAGTAGTCAAGAATTAATAAAAACTCATGAATTCTTAAGAGGGAAGCTCCTTCCTGACAGGCAGCAGACAACAGGGAAATTAAAGTTCCAGCTGGGGCTGCTTCAGATCCACCAGCAACGCCAGAAAAAGAAGCAACCATATCTGCACTTTCCTTAAATTAAACAAAAGCGTTTTCCCAAAAACAATGTCATGTAACTTTATTAATTGAATGGTATGTATGTACATTTATGTGTGTGTGTGCATTATTTAGTTTTCAGGTGGCAAATGTGAATTATTTATTGAATGCTGCAGCTCCAATAGTTGTGGTCTAATTTCCTTGTACTGGGCCGTCTGCTGCTCCATTTTGGCCGTTAGTTTCACTCGTTCGTTCTGGACGCTTTGCAGCCGCTCTCGATTAGCTTTGCTTTTGGCCATGGAGATCTGGATGTTTAGATTTGAAAGTTAAATAATAATATAACAACAACTTCAACCAACGATGTGTGCCTACTTCGAGTTGTTTTTGCTGTGCCTCCAGCTGCCTCTCCATAAAACGAATGCTGGAGTCCAAGAGGCGCATGCGCACAGGCCGTGTGAGCTCCTCCGGGGTGAGCCTAGTCCTGAGGGCGCAAAGAAGGTCAAGTAAGTGCAGAGGAGATTCCTAATTACCAACTCACCAGTCTTTGCCCTCGTAGGGAGCAAACTTTTCCTTGAGCACCTCCAAGGTCACCAGCTTGTTCTCCACATCGTTCCTGTCGAAGAAGGATTGATTCATTTTGCCCAGAACGATGGTCATCTGAGTGCGCATGTTGGTCACCAGCTCCTCAGTGGACAGGACAGAGTTCTCGTGCTGCAGGAGGATGGCAGAAAACGCCTGTAGGTCTGAGGGACTACGATAAACAATTGTTTGTATCTTTTGTTTACATTTAGAAGCCTTCTTGGCTTACCTCAGATCTGCAAACACTTGTCCAATGGCCTCATCGTACGCCTTCTTCACCTGGGGTATGATTCTCTGGTGCCGTTTGAAGGCGGCTTCTACATCGTCTTCCATTTTGTGGACTTGTTCGGCGTTCTCCATTATATTTCACGAAATTTAAAACATATTTTGAAAACAAAACAAAATTGGCTGCCAAGCGCAAGAGTGGCCATTCGCAGTTTCCTCAAAAATACCAAGCCCATAAGCATATCAAAGAAAGGTTTGAGTATGAACTAAGCTATTGCCACAACGGACCAGGGCTGCATTTCCAATCAGAAGGAGCAGCGATAAAAGTTGTTCCTTGTTTGCAAGCTATTTTCTTAATTAATATTTAACATATTCATTAGTTTACAACATTTTTTTTTATCTAATTAGATATATACCCATTTTGAATAATTTCAGAAATTGGTTTTTTTAATTTTATTAAAATCTTACTTATATATCATACAGCTGTCATACGAATCTTCCGCACTTTTTTGGGAAATAAATAAAAACTTCGAGGTTTTTAAAAATATTTTCATCTACTCAGAGATGTAGCCTTGTTTAAATATTTCAGAACTTCAGGTTTAATTTTATGAAAATTTAAAAGAAGGATGCTAATGTATTAACATAAATCGCCGAGATCTGCTTTACAGAATATTTGGTATTCTGCACTCTCGGAAAACAAGGCGGTGGGAAAACTTTCCCAGGGACTATTGCAGCGCGGGTATTAGCAAGCAAAATGCGTAATGAAAGTAGGCATTGCTTCAATGCTTTTAAACTGAAATATTTATTAGTTATAATGTATTAATATATAATTGTCCGCAACCTTTTATAGCATTCACTATACCCCAGTTCTTAATTATGCCACAGTTTATATTTTGTTATGTTTTCCTTAGTTTTAGAGAAAATAAATATTGAAACATTCAGCGTCAACATATTCCAGATAAAGGTAATTTTTGATACAATTAAACAAAATAGAGTTGGTATTTTTGGGTATTTTTTCTGAGGCCGTATATCGTTATCGATACATCCGCAACTATCGATAGCCGACGCCATTTTGCAACTCATCGTTTTGTGCATTTTAACTCTCAAAGTGTGTTGTGCTATAAATTTTAAATAATAATTTCGCAGCCAGCGCAAGGTAGACAAAACGTGTTAAATAACAATTGGGTGTTTGTGTGTACCGGCAGCAGATCGAGTTCAGTGACAGCAACCGCATTAGCCGCCGAAGAAAAACAAAGGCATCCAGATAGGTGAGTTGTTTTTTTTGCCTGGGGACGCTCGAGAAATGGCGAAAGAAAAGTGAATTAAACCAGGCAAAGATGTGTGCAAATGTGTCCGGGTGTCTCTGTGTGTGCGCGCGGTGTTGTGCTTTTCCCGAATACATTTTCTACGAAAAGTTTTTCCAATACATACAGTACTTGCATGCCGATTTTTCTTACGCTTCAGCCTGCCCGCCGCCCCCCACCCTCGACTCGTTCTTTTGGCTTCGGCGCTTCACTTTTACATTTTTTTTTCGTACAACCACCAGGGCACACAGAAATATTCCTAGCTCTTTCTCGCTCTGCCCCTGGCGCTCCAACCCGCCCGATTGCCCACTCTCTCTCTCTTGCTCGCACGCGTACCGGCTTTTACTAGAGGTACAGAGTCGCCGTTGTTGTTTTTGTTGCTTTTGCCCCTTCCGCTTTAGTAGCTTGTTTTGTTTTTCTTTCTTTCTCGTATTTCCACGCGGTAACCGGCGCATATAATTTCATTATAATTTACAGAGATAAAATCAAAACAAAATAGTTTCGTTACTCCAAAAGCGAAGCTCCCACGCTGCTGAGCTACAATAGATAGCAAAAGTCGAGTTCAACGCTCGCGCCAGCCTACAAATAAGGAAAGAGCCTAACCTATATTTTATTCATACATAGTTGGGGGCCCCATTGTTGTTGTAGCATCTATCGATGGGGGCAACGAAGAAGAGGAAGAAGAAGAAGACCACGAAGAGGAGATAGTGGAGGAGCAGCGCTAATGAGAGAGGCAAATAACCGTTCAATAAGAGAGTTGCTGTTGGGTGCAGCTCGTTACCAACGAACCTCATTGTGTCTCCCCGAAATCCCCCTCTCTGCGCTCATCCCCCTCCCTTTCACCCTCTGGCATTTTGGCTCTCTTTTTTCCAATTCTTTTTTTTTGCTTGCACAACTTTTGAGAGGCGTCGCAGATTCCAACTTTTGCTTTTTGTTCTTTGGCTGGCGATTCTACTTGGTCTTTGTTTAGATTTCCAGTTTTGTGCAAAAATTCGCTTTTATTTGCCTTGTTTGGTTGATTTATTTTCGTGTTGGTTGGCAGCTTGCTGCTGTTGTTGTTCTAACATTTATTTCGAGTGAAGCAATCGGAAAGATATTTTGCAGCTATTCGCTCGCGCGTTCATTGACATTGAACTGAATTCTCGCATAAATGCTGTACAGCTAAAATTGTGCATAAAAATATTTGTGTTTTTTTATATATATTTGTTAAATTAAAATTCTTGTTTAATTTAGCAAACTTCCATCAGAAAGGAGCAAAATACAGGCTATTTACGGTCAGTTTCCTATGGAACAAGGGTGAATAAACAGTGAAATCATTACAAATTGGTGCTAATTAATTGAACTTTGAACAGTTCTATATGAGGAATTACTCAAACAGGAATTCAATTAAGGTCTTATAAATGAAGGGCAAAATATATTTTAATTCTACAGTATGTATTTACATAACAATTGCAATTTATTTTGCCTTATTTACTTTCTTTTATGAATTAAATAGCAAATTTATTAGTCATTTATATTGGTCATTTGTTATATATCTTGAACTTTTTATTATTTAGCTTACTCTTGATTGATAAACATCAATTTTGATAATATCAAAACCCATTAAGAGTTGGAGAGCTGTTTACTTTGTATGTTTATAGTTTAAGGTGTTGAAAAATCATTCATAATGTAATAATAATTTATCGCTTTCACAATTTTACTTAGCCTACTGAATATTGTTGATTGATGTCCTGTATTTTATTATAAATCGATGAGTATTGTGTCTCGTTTCTTCATAATTATCATAATTACGTTTTATAATTATCGAACCACAAAAGTGTATTGTTTCAGTTACATAAAATGAGTGTTGCAAATACATTTTCAGAATTATTTCCAACTTAGTTTTATTATAATTTTATCCATGAATATATACTCTCTGAAGCTTAGTTAGTAAACTTGACATGTTGTTATTGCTGAATACAGACAAGTCTTGTGCTGTTTGTTTGTTTGCTGTTTTAGCCAAAAATCAAGAATGGCAAATATAAAATGTGAAATTTCTCTCTCCCTTCGGTAGGGCCTTGCTGCTAGTACATTCTCATTTATTTTATTTGTTCCCCTCGTTGGTTTTTGTTTCGCTGCGTTCTATACTCTATACGGCTCGTATCATGAAAAATGTATGCTGTTTGCCATATTTTCAATGCAATCAGCTTAACATGGGCAAAATGAAATAAATAAAAAGTATATAGTATTATTGTGGTGCTGCAATTGTGCCGCAAATTCATTGTTGTTGTTGTTGTTGTTGTTGTCGTTTTTGTTGGTCGTGCATGTAGGTTGCTTTGATGTTGTTAATTTCCCACATGAATCTATTTTCTGGCTGAGATACGGCGGAACGAGAGAAATCTCTGCTAACTTGGCCCGCATTTAGGTGAATTTAATAAATTGTATGTTATGTGGAGCTTATACGGGTTAACTATGCCTGTCGCCCCCAGTGAAATGTAGATTTCTACGGAGAGCTTTCCAACGTCAAGAGTGCCATTCGATGATAATCCCTTCTCTGTACTTCCCTTCCCCCCTTTGATATATGTATGTATAGACAATCACATTCGCAAAACATGTTCCACTCAATGATTTTCGACGACAGAGCTTTTGTCTCGAATGACAGACGAAAAATGTTGAAAAGCAGAAGAAGCGGCAATATTTTTATGCAAATCGTAAAAATAGATAAATAAATAAAACGCTTGAAACACGTTTCGTAGCCAAGCAGGCCAGTCTTATTGAATTTGAATGCCTTGACTGGTATTTCCATTGCTGCGAAACGATTCTTATATTTCCAATTAATTAGCCAACGATGGATTGTCGAGAGATGCAGTTGACAAACGAAGAACTAGATAAGGCCAAAGTAATAAAGGATGAAGGTGGAGGCCACTGGTGGCTCCAGTGCCTCTGGTGGGGGTGAAAAGAAGGAAAGTACTTTTCAATCGAAGTCTTTTAATAATGCAACAACTTGGGGGTTGTCCGATTGTTAAGGGAACAGGTATACTTGGGAAAAAAAAAGAACTACACTGACCCATAAACTAGGAACTATTAATTATTTTAAATGAGATTCAGCAAGCTACATCTTAAAATTATCAAAGAAAGTAGTGGGTTATAGGGTTAATTGATATTTTAGTGGGTTGTATGATTAAGAAAATTATATATTTAGTGACTTTATTTAGTGACAGGGCTTTAGGAACCACAGATCTATAAGCATCTTATAAGCTTTTCCCTATCAAAATTAATAATATTTGATCTTGTTAACAAATTTCGTTTAATGAAACTCTTTCCTAATATAAATAACATCTTTAAATCAGTAGCTTAACTATAGAAACATCTTCTCCTACCTATTATCCATATAAATTAAGTTAAGTATGAAAATTATTAATTGTTTTTACATTAATTTTTCCTATGTGTAGCACCCAAAGGCAAGTCAAAGTAGAGTCGGCAGTCTGTGGAAGTTGGAAGAGAACAAAACAGGACGACTGAACTGAGCAGAGTAGTCCCGGAATGGAATAGAATGGAATAGAATAGTGTGCGATAGAGCAGGAGCAACTACAACTACATGGCACACGCCATAAGCACATTAGTTATTAGCGCAAGGGACCAGCTTGAACACCCACACCCACACCCACACCCACACCCGGTCCGCCACCCAAGCCTTAGAGACACACGCGATGGCAGAAGTTGGTCGGCTCACCCGCCCCCGGACTCACTCGCTAAGCACGCTGACATGTCCATAAAAGCCTTGAAGTGGACAGGCCACAGAGCACAAAACAGGACACACAACACCAATACACACACACACACACACACACACTGTGTCCAAGGGGCGTCTATCTATTCTCCCGGCACGGGGCGATGAGAATTGTCAATTGTATGCATTTC